CGCCCCCCCCCCCCCCCCGAGAAGATTTCATTGCACTTAGTCGCCATGAAATCTTCAGATCATACAAGAAATAATCAACACATTTTGGAATAATAATAGTAAATACATATCAAGGAATAGATTGTGAGAATGAGAGATGGGCTGAAATGGCTCAACGTTGGTTCAATTCCCTTATGTAAAACAATAGGACGCAGTGAAACGTACATTGTTTCAGTACGCAAATGTCCGATGTTGCCAGAAGTTCGTTCGCTTGAGCACAAGTAGATCTCCCTACCTGTTCCTGACCTAGTGCTGTGTAGTGTATGGTGTACTTAGATCCTTCTTGTGCACGTGTCGCATTGGCGTCCTTATGCATGCAACCATGGATGTTAACCTTGGCGCGCTCCCCGTTAACACCTGTGAAGTAAAATTATGATCCATACAGATCATATGACAAAATGCATTCATCGCACGTCTACAAGACGTACACACCGCTCAAATATTTTGTTTAAAGTATTTTTCTGTTCCGCAAAATACATTATATGAGCTTTCAATTAAAATGGCAGCCAACTGTAGCTAACCTAATCTGCAACTACACATAACATATGTTTGATAAAACTATCTATAATGAGAGATTAAATGTTGGCTTTTTCTAACTATTATGTTGGAACATGCAATTTCTTATAAAAATTCGCGGCACACCGGTCGTGGTACACTGCTTTAGAGTAAGGAACACATTTTGGTTACGTTCTGTCTGTCGGTCAAGCACGTATTTCAGCCGAGGTTGTGCTGCCATCTATCAGTCGTCATACGAAATATTAATTCTGCCATATAACCCGAGAACGGCATAAAGGATTATGAAAATTCGTACAGATTGCACTTCAAAACTGTATCTTTCAATTTGTTCTTAAAGTTTCCTGTTATCTACCGCACGAAACTTATGCTGCATAGTGACTAACTAAGAGCATAGTTATGTAAAAACAGACGCACGCCAAGCAGCTGAGAAAATTAGTATAAAAATACGATTTGGTAGTTTTGTAATTTGGAACACTGTTAGTAGGAAGCGTGTGTTATTGGGAGCCCTGTATTAGCAGCTTGCTAAAACTGTTTTCGTAAAACATAAAATAAACAATGGAAAAGTAGAAGAATTTCATTAGGACAAACACGATAAAAGCAGCGAACGAAGCGTTTGGCGTTCGTCTTCTGTTTGTGGTTGCTTGTGAAGCCACGCTCTAGAAAATTCTCTTAGTTTCATTTTACATAAAACGATTAATAACCACTACAAAGAATGCCACTTTATTCTGTAATCATATCCAATTCGCGAGACGAGTTATTAAACCCATAATGCCTTCTTTAGGTATATTATATTACACAGAATAAATTTTCGTCATGCAGATTCTATTGAAGGAACGAATACAGTAAATATATGTATCAGATACAAGGATAAAATCAGAAGAAATTGGGGAGAGAGTTAAACTGTCTACTGAAGAAGGTGCCTTAAACTCCTTTCAGTATCACGGCGCCTAATTTTCTTGGAGACCGGTCAATCAAGTATGAACATAAACAGAAATTTCAGAAGCAAAATGTAAAGCGAAACCGTCGTATCATGTACTAAAACTTGCCCTAGAATAAAAAACAATATTATTTACAATTCCAGGGAGGATAGTCAGCCACCGAGTCGGGAACTGAACCCGGGACCCTCCGAATTCAAAACACGAATTACAACCATTGAACCGCGTCATCTGATATCGTAACTCGATTCTAGTATATTTCTATTCATGTATTTTCAAATCAATGTATTTCCTAATCACCAGTTATAATCATACAAATGTTCGAATCGGTTCTTAAACTTACCCAAAATGCTTGAATTCATTCAGCAAACGCGGTTATCAATTTTCTTTCTATTCGTGGACCACTTCAATGGCCTTACAATTCATACATCAACGTTCTGTAACAGTAGATATTTGACACTGCAAAATGCATAGAATCTAACAAGTAACAAGAACCTCGCATAACGAAATACCAACGTGGTAAAATTAAAACTTGAATGCGTCGTGCCTTCTTGATCGGAAAACAATTTCAGGACGATAAATCATTAGACATTACTGTTTACACGACAGAAGAAAACGCTTTCTTTCCGTCTTTTGTTTATCATTTCCGTGCGCTGCTGTTGCTGACGTCATGCGACTGTGTTCCAGATCGCTCAAGAGCTCAATCAAGTTCTCGGAAACCTGAACGCTGCCGCCCCCACTCAACAAAACGGGGAATCACATGCAATCAATGGCGACTCGACTCAGGCACAGCAGGTATGTGAACACTTAAGTGCGGGGTTTCCCGTTAAATTTTCCTTTACAGAAGAAGCATGCATTGGGAAATAACATAAGTTTCCTTCGAGGTTTACTACTACAGTCCACAGATCAGGAGAAAATCCCTGCTAGGAATTCGATATACGCGCATGCGCAAGATTTCGCGGTGAGTGATGACCCATCCTAAAAGCATTCGTTCCACAACCACTGAACGAACAACAGACGACAGGCTTTCATGTGTTCTAATGGGTACAGCTTTAAGATTACCTCACAGCGGCACAGTGATTTAATCTAGAATATTATCGCAACAACCACAGAACACATTAGAGGTGCACTCACTACACGCTACTCTTAACTGCTTGATGTTTCCAGTCTGTGTAGTAGCGTAAAACTCTGACGTATCACACTTCCCACCAATAGCAGCCCTCTAGTCCGTACCGCACCAGAAACGACTTCCCTCAGCAGGGTTTTTCTCGTGATCTGTGGACAGTACGTAGGCCATGGACAGCTGGGATTATAAATAACCTGTATAGGACGTGGTCAGCATTTCCAACACGGGTAATAATGCATTATCGAATACGTCGTGATAATACGTCTGTAAAACCTGACCTATTTCAATTCCAACTCCATATTCGCACGCACCAAATAAGAATAGCAAACTAGGCTGTTGCGACAGAGTCTCATTTGATGCGTAGTAAATAGCATTGTGTACCAACAAGTAGGCGAAATTAATATATCTTAGGTTTAAGATTTCAAGTTTTAGTCACATTTATTTAATGTGTTGACAAATTCGAATGATCAGTGCAGCAAATTCGAACACGTCATGTTTGTGGGTGGGAAATAGACTTTATTAGCCATGCACAAAATGTGGACTTTGTGTGTAGCCATGAGATTGGAATCTGATGGCCTTAAACAAAAATATTATGTTCCTTCTTATACACCACCTTGATACAAGGCGAATATTAGAAAAAAATGTTTTTATGCGATTAATTCCTTACTAACCAAATGAGCTTTAAATGGATAATTGCTCTGCTTTGACGAGTTAGTTCGTTCGGTTTTAGAATGTTAAAAGGGCTAATTATTTCCCTCTATCTCGATCCAGCCACTGTCTGTCTTCCTGGACGGAGACACCCTATTGGTCCAGACCATTTCCTCATTCTCTGTGACTCTAGTTGCCCAATTCTACCTAGCCTAGTCCTTATTTTGATACTGTATAAAATATAAACGTCTGAACATCCCAAATTCAGCCCTGAAGATGGAGACAGCATGTTATTTACGTTCGGCATACATTTGTTTTTTTAACCAAATGAGTAAATACCAACTGCAAACGATGGACCCCATTTCATGAAGTTGGTTGCTTGGCGAGCCAGTGATAGAACAGTTTCTTACACAACCACAGACCAATATTTCACTATCCCACACAGCGACCTTCTAATTTAATTTAAATTAATGGATTGAAGTGTTTTGATACACGGCTCAAGTGACATAACTAAAAATGGTACCCCTCCCTCCCTCCCCCCTCCCACTCTCTCACATACGGTGGTGGCTATTCCTGTGAGAGCTACGGACCGAAGTTTTGGCTTGTACTAAACTTTGAACAGAGGCCAACTTATATATAAGTAATTTTATCATGTCATTCCGTGTTCGGGGCTGGTTATAACGAGCAGAGGGGGTCAAATGTCACACCCCTGTCTCTGAGTCTGTAACTCGTTCACATCTTCGCGGTTTACAAAACAGATCATAGTTCTACTCGTTGCGTGATATAATATGCGAGGTTTTATACACAATGCCGGGAGCTGGCAACGTGCCTTGGAGCGCAAGGCTGTGAAGAACAGTTGAACGAGAAGCAAGCGGCTGACTAGACTCAGAGGAGAAGGTTATTTATTTATTTATTTATTGTTTTTATTATTTCCTGGATTTACTTCTGTCTTTTTTATGTGTGTATGTGGCAGGAAATGTGTCGTTTTATAATTGGTTGTTGCATGAAGTTGTGTTGGTGGGGGTGGCCTCTTTGTGATAGGTTACAAATCCAAAGGGGGAAGTGCTGTTTCGTACAAAAGTGGCATTAAGAAAACATCTGCATTTGTTTGTCTCATTTTGTGAATGGCAAGATCTTTAGGTAACAGTGATACTTATAATTTGTGCTATGCATGTGGATCTTCAAACCTTAATTCAGAATTTCGATACTCAGCCTGTAAAATGTTCTTTTCGCTGTAGAAACTGTCCGCAGGTTATTCGTTACGTCAAGGAAATAAAATTAGAATACAATAATTAAAAACGTATTTCATTGTATAACCCGCTGTTTATATATTTACTTACCATACAGTTCGAGGAACAATATTTGGAAGGTTTAGAACTGAACTATCAAGATATTGGGGGACCTTGCAATATGTGCATCTGTGTTCTATGTGTTATTCACATCTGACTGCGTCATCAAATCACAAACGATTCGATGGACGACACATGCATTATATATGAAGCAAACAAGACATGCATACACAATTTTGATAATAAAACCTAATTAAAAAAAGAGTTGATATACCAACGACAGGATAATATTAAAATGGAGGAGGCTGCAAGGACCCGTAAGGTGATTTCAAGGTAACTGATGTGACGTGGTCATCTTCCATCATACGTATTGATTTAAATGTTTTAACAGGTTTAAATAACATTTAAGAAGAGAGTTTTAAGAAAAACTATGGAACCTCTTCAATATTTTTTAAGATCGAATAATTTTCGACAATACAGGTTTTGGGAAATTGCTGCCGCAGTTGGCAGCACTACTGGCCACTATACGCATAACCAAAATAGATTTAAAAAAACAGTCACATCTTGGCGGGCGTTTATGTCACAGGAAACATGCTTCTTATTGCATAATCTGCAGAGAGAGAAAAATACTAAATGCCAGCAGTCTGCTTCATAATTATCTCAAAATAAATAAAAATTAATATATAGTTTACGTCTGGAAACGGGAGAACGTTACACTGGAATTTTCGTATAGAACAATTCGTCCATCCATTGTTTAGTATGGCCATCAATTATTGTAAAGAAATAATATAATTTCAGAAAAAGATTTTAGGTTTTCATGGCTGTAAACTTGTCGATGAGTTATAACGCAGTAATGTTTGGTGCAGATAAGTTGGTAATCACCTATAAGACTACATGGTGTCGTAAACTAGAAAACTACAAACACATATTTCAGACATCTGAAAAATGTTCCGTAAGAAGTATTTGTACCTAAAAGACAGTATGTGAGAAAATACAAGATTTTTGAATACATAGATTGTACAACATGCCTTGTATTCTTACGATAGTCAGACCATGGAGATTGGAATGGGATATACATGTAACTTAAATGGAGAACAAAATGATTGTGGAGTAAACCTAGGTTAAAGGGGAGTAAGATATTGAAAGATAATATTAAAATGGATTTAATATAAGTGGGTTATGGCGATGGTAGATGGACTAAACTGTCTCAGCATAGGTGATTTTTTTATCAGCGATGTTAAAAATGTACGGTGCTATTGCCAGTTAATAAACCCTTTAGAGCTTAGTGGGAATTATATGTACCACCTGATTTAACAATCAGTAGGCCTAACTGTGTATTTTATATTTATGACGATCAGTGAGTAGAGCGATTATTCCTTTAAGCAGCATTAACTAGTAGGATTTGAGGTTTTCACGGCGGTGAGTTTGAAGATGGCTGTCTTCTGGAATATTGCGCCGTGTAGTCTGGTAGAAGTTTACCGACGTTTCAGAGGTAAACTCATCGCCCTGATGATGGAGGGAGCAAGGACTTCTGAAACGTCGATAAAATTTTACCAGACTACACGGCGCAACAATCCAGAAGATAGACATCTTCATCTTTACCAAATTTATCTTTGTAATGGTGAGGTAATTTTGTCTTTGTGGACTAAATTCTTAAATATTATTCAGACGAGCTACGGCATCAAATTTTTATCCTTACCAGAAAGACGAGCGGGCATTGCCTGGGAACCTTCTAAGTATAAGATGATTTTTCTCCCCTTCCCCCCAGAAATTGTCTCTCACTTCTCCACATCAATTTTCTCTCATGTTATTCTTCCCAACTCTCTCTCTCCGGAATCAAAGCGCTAATTATAGATTGTAATTAATTACAACATAGGTGACAGAACGAAACCACAATGCGTAAAAAACCTTAAAGTTGAGGGGCAAAACGCATGCCTGGGAATCAAAATGTTGTTTGTGAAACAGAAAGTTTAATTGCTAACCTAGATTCTAAGGATATTTAATGGCGCTGATTTTAAGCCGTGCACCGCGCAATCAGATACGGAAACGATAAAAAGTGAAGGACACTGGCGCCATTCCAAACGGATTGCTAGCAAGTTGCCAAGGTTCTAAATTAAATAACCCTCTACGCTCTGTCACATTAGAGTGTGATTCGCGCAGAAAACTTTGTAATTTATCTCACAGACCTACAGAATTTGCTTTGACAATAGCGTATTATGATACCCGGAAAATATAAAGTGTCTTCTGGGTTGTTGCGCCGTGTAGTGTCATATAAAACCGACGTTTCAGAAATGTTTACTGCCTCCATTATCAGGGCAAGACAACATCCCATGAGTCATTTTCTAAGTTTTGACTGTTCATGGCAAATGTATAGTACCTTTTTAAAAACAATATGTGGAGGTGTTTGTCCTCGAAAATTGTAATAAGTATTTCCTTCTGGAGGAAATTCCAGAAAGCAGATGTGGCCTTTACAAAAACACTGTTCCAGAATCTGAAAAATTACTAAAATAATCTTTTATAAATCGTCGAGAAATGAACCGCAGATATCTTGGATGTGGACCGAGAGTGCTATATACTGCACCAAAATCTCTCTGTTAAAATTTTGCTACAAACAATAATGAACCAGACAGCTGCAGGGGACAATATCGAAAGCTCAGTCTACAACTTAAAAACGTGTTTGGAGCAACAAGACGGAAATAACTCGAGGTCAACTAAGCACAATCACGTGGACTGTGGCCTTCTGGGTCATGCCACGTGTAGTCTTGTAGGTGGTTACCAAAGAATCGGATAAAATCGTCGTTTCCATCCCCATATTCTAT